TGGAGCACAACCTCCCAACCTGCCTATGGAGTCTGGACTTCCATTTCTGCTTCTATAAGTCAACTGGAAATCCCGAGATTCACTGCATTCTGAGGCTGTCCTGCAGCTTATTTATAATCAATAAATGTCCTGCAGTTTTGTGAACTCTCAGGGGTCAGGGCATTCTGCTGAATTTAGTGAAGACCAGTGTTTAGTACTATTTATAAATTCTTTTCTAGAGAAACACCAACTCCTGTGTAAACGAACAAGAAACAGTTCCAGTGCCTCTGCCCAGCACTGCCCAGCACTGGTGATAGGAGAGGAACAAACACTTCCCAATAGATTTTTGAGGCCAGTATTAATATCACAACTAGACAAAAATATCACAAGAAAACTGCAGACTAATTCCTCTCACAAACACCGATATAGAAATCCTCAATAAAACAGTAGCACATTGACTCCAGTAAGGTACAAAATAGATCACGCACTATGAACAAGAAAGATTCATCCCTTGAAGGCAAGATTGATTTAACATATGAAACTCAATTGTGGAATACAACATATTAATAGAATGAAGAACAAAAACATATAATCATCCCAATGGATACTGACAAAACATTTGATGGTACCCAGTGACCTTCCTTTTTCTTTTCTTGGCTTTTTTTTTTTTTTTTTTTTTTTTGTGATAGGCTCCCACTATGTAGTACAGGCTGGCCTTGAACTGGGTTATACATCCCAGCCTTCAACCGTGAATGTGTCTCCTGTCTCAGCCTCCCAAACGTGGGGATTACAGATGTGTGCCACCACACCAAGCCCCAATGGCCTTTCATGATAAAACATGCTAGAGAAAAAAAGAAATTTCCTCAACCCACACAGTTATACACAGAAAACCCCTAACTAACATACTTACTGGTGAAAGAAGACTGAACACTTCACTCTAAAATCAGGAACAAGGATACTTGTTTTTGCTGCTTTTACTTAGCATCATATAGGAATTTCTAGCCAGAGAAATTAGGCAAAAAATAAAAGCAACTCATCCAAGTTGGAAAGAAATAAGTAAAATATCTCTATTTGTACCTGAAATTCTCTTGGATATATAAAAACTATAAAGAATACACAAAAAATTCAAGCTAATAAATAGGTTTAGTAACATTTCAAGTTATAAAATCAATATGCACAAGTCAATCACATTTTCATACATTAGCCTTAAACAATCCAAAATGAAACTAACACATCAATTTCATTTATAATAGCATCAAAAATAATAAATAATTAGAACTATATTTATCAAAATGAGGACAAAAGAGGGCTGGCCAAATAGCTCAGTGGATTTGCAGGTGCAGGGGCCAGGAGTTTGATCCCCAGGCTGTGCTGGCCCCACCCTGGGGCACGCTGAGACAGTGAATGAGACTGGGCATGGTGGCACATGCCTGTAATCGCAGCACTTGGGAGGCTGTAAAGAGGCGGATCACTACAAGTCCAGTCTAGTAGTGAGACTGCCAACACCTGGTAGACCCTTCCCTAAAATACAGAGAGAGAGAGAGAGAGAGAGAGAGAGAGAGAGAGAGAGAGAGAGATTGAGAGAGAGAGAGAGAGAACAAAACTACACTGAAAACTATAGAAAATTACTTATATAGATGGAATAAAACTTAAATAAATGATATCCAGTATTCACAAATGAACTAAATAACTATTGTTAAGATGGTAGTATTCCCCAAATGGATCTACAAATGTAATATAACTGCTATCAAAATCCCAGCTAGAATTATTGCAGGAATCAATAATCTCATCCTAAAATATGTATGGATAGGGCTGGGGAGAGAGCTCAGTGGAATGTGTTTGCCTGGCAAGCACAAGGTCCTGAGTCCAATCTCTGGTGCCACCAAAAATAAATAAATAAAATACATATGGATATATAGGGTACCAGAATGTCCACAATATGGGTCTAGGGAGATGGCTCAGTAGAATAAGCACTTCCTTGGCAAGCACAAGGGCCTGAGTTCAATTCCCAGTTACACACACACACACACACACACACACACACACACACACACACAGAGAATATCCAAAATAACCCCAAAAAAGAAGAGCAACTCTGGAGGTCCTACACTTCTAATTTAAAAATTTACTAAGCTTGCCTGGCAAGTTCAAGGGCCTGATTTCAATCCCTGGTTCCACAAAAAAATAAAATAATAATAATAATAATAATAATAATAATAATAATAATAATTTACTAAGAATCTAAAGGGTAGCTCAGTACTGACATAAGACAGGTGTAAGGATCAACGAAACAGAATTGAGAATCCAGGTGTGGACACTTCCATTCTTCCATTTTTGTTCAGTTGATCAAAGAAGAAGGCCAAATCCTTGAAAAAATTAATCTCTCCAACAAGTAGTGCTTGAACAGCTGCATCAGGTAGCAGCCTTTTCTACACAGAAGTTAATTCCAAATGGATCAAAGACTTAAACTTGGGAGCTAGACTTTCAGTCTCTTAGAAGAAAGATAGCCGTAAGTCACGGTGACCTTGAATGAGGCTACTGGTTGTTTAGATCTGACATAAATCACAAACAAGAAAAAAAAAGAGATAAAATTAAACATGAAAATGGAAAAATTTTGCTTTAAGACAATTCAAATAATGGGAGAATGTATTTAAAAGTAACATCTCTGGTGACGGATTAATATCCAGAATGTGTAGTGAATGGCTACCCATCAACAAAACATTCAAAACTGGGCAATGAACTTGAATAGCAATTTCTCTAAAGATAATATATGCAAATGACCACAAAGCAGATGAAAAGATGCTGCCCCTCCTGGGGCATCAGAAAAAAATACATCGGAGCCAGGAGGGGCTACACTGAGCACCCTGTAGTTGGTCTATAGTCAGAGACAGCAGCAGTAACTGAAGTTGGCAAGCACAGGGAAGAGTGGAGCCCTGAGACATGACTCACATAACCCTGGATCTTCACTTTGTAAGACAGCGTGCAGGGCCCCAAAATGTGCAGCACAGTTGTGTGACCCAGGATTTCCAGCCCTAGGGATTTACTGCACAGAATGGAAACTATAGGCTGATACAAGAACATGCACATGAGGGCTGGGGGATAGCTCAGCGGCATAAGCGCCTGCCTGGAAAGCTCAAGGTCCTAAGTTTGATCCTTGATACTGCATGCTGAACCAGCCCTGGGACCCAGGGTACATCATGCCAACCCCAAAACTGGGTGTGGTGGCACACATTTGCATTCCCAGCACTAGGTGGGCTGAGACAGGAGGAACACTACAAGTCCAAATTGTGTAGCAAGACCCTGTATATAAATAAAAAATAAATGAATGAATGAATGAATGAATGAATGAATGAAATAAAAAACATGCACATGAATGTTCACAGCAATAATTATTCATAATATCCCAAAACAGAAAACAAACCAAATTTCCATAGCTGCTAAACCAATAAACAAAAATATGACATATTCACAAATCATAATATTCTCAGCTTAAAAAGAACAGAGTAATAACACATGCTGCAGCATAGATGGACCTTCGCACTTACCATACGAAAGGGTCAGACACAAAAGAGCACACAGCATTCTATTTGTGTGAAACACCTGTCATGGGTAAATCCACTGGAGACAGGTTATGTGGGGAAGGGTGATTCTCACCTGGTCCCAGGTTTCTATTTGAGATGATGAAAATGTTTCAGAATTAGATAGTGGTGTCATTGCACAACTTGGTGAGTTTATTAAAAGTAAGCCACTGAACCGCACACTTCAGAAGGGTAAACTTTATTGTTATGGGAACACAGCAATTTCTCCAAAGAGTCCACTGAATGAATGAATCCAACATCCAAGTCAATATTAGGGGGCTGGCCAAATAGCTCAGCGGATTGAAGCGCCTGCTCAGGCAGATGGAGCAGCCGGCTTTGATCCCGGACCTGCGGTGGGCGCACTGAGATGTGATTGAGACAGCGTGTGGTGGCACGTGCCTGTAATCCCAGCTCTTGGGAGACTGAACACAGGTAGATCACTATGAGTCTGATCTATGTAATGAGACCCTGAAGACCCTGTAGACCCTTACTAAAATAAAATTAAAATTGACTGCAAACCAGTCAACCCAAACTCATGCCCACAGCCCTCTAACTCTCCCCACAGCCTCCAATCCCTCTTCTAATTCTTGAGGGCAATACCTTCAAGACCTTAGCGACAGCCTCTCTGTCCCAAACCCAGGGAATGAGCAGGCTGGCCAGTCCTACAGCTGCTTGTCCCACTTCCCTGAGGACAGTGCAATAAATGCTCTATCTTCCCCTCACTAATTCTGTCTCCTGACTGATGCTGGCGCTTCTCCGGGTGGCCCTGTATGTTGTGACACCTCCTGTAAACGCTTCTTCCTTTTTATATCTTTTCAGGTTCCTAATCGGTCTTCTCCTTTTCCCACTGGTTATGCACATGATCAGGCTTTGTTTTCGCAGATTGTACATGAGCGTAACGTCTCCGGGTCATTTCCACCCATTGCCCTCCTTGGCGCTCACTCCTTCCTAGGTCAGTTCCATGCCTGCACATTTCCCACTCTGTGACAACAGTGCCAGGCCCATAATGAAACACCTCCTAGCAGACTGGCTCCCCTCCTCCTCATGATGGGCTTTTCATGCCTCTGCTGCTGCCACCCACACTTCCCATGCTGTCCCCACACCTTTGTGCACACTGGACGGCCACAATTTCTATGCTGTGAAGCTTGTGCATCCTGTGTGTGTCTTGTGCTCTGGCTGGTGAGTCCCTCCAATATAAGAGCCAAGCTACCTCATCTCGGGATCCCTGGGGCATTGCACAGAGCCAGGAACGGTTGGCAGCTGAGGAAGTGTAGCATTTGACTTTATAATGCAAGAAATCTCCAGGACAGGCCTGGAACCCCTTGAGCACGGTGTCCCGACCCAGGGCAAAGACTTGCGTATGAGTGAGTGGACAGCACGCTGGCTGTGGGGACATGGAGGAGTGGCAGGGGTGAGCCTCCCTGGGGCTACAGCTCTACTCACACTGCTCTTCCCACTCTTGCTCCTCACGCTCATTGCACTGGCTGTGCAGCTGCGCCTGCTTCAGGCTCCAGTACAGCTCCTTGGCCCTCTGCTCCTCCTGGAGGCGAATCTGCTCCTCTCCTCGCTTCCTCTCCTCTTCCTCTTTCCTCTAAAAAAAGACAGAGACAGAATGATGTTAGGAGACAGTAACACCTCAGGATGAAGAAGTGCCTCTGTGATTCTACCGCAAGTGGAGGCCAAGCTGAGCTGGGATGAACAGGGCCAGTGTGACCACTCCACTCTCAGGCCCTACCCATGGGGGTGGCAACAGTCACACAAGATGAGAATCAAATGGGCTGGGACCAGGAACAAAGTAGAGCACTAGCCTAGCAAGTGCAAGGTTCTGGGTTTATTCCCCAGTACCAGGAAAACTAGGTGGAGAAATTTGTATTATCTAGGCTTTCCAACAAAGATAAGAGGACCCTGGGTCATGCTTGGTCATGTTTCCAGTAGGAGGCAAGAAGAAAGGCAGGTACAACAGGGTGCCTGGCCTTACAGAGGCCATTCAGCAGGATGGGAGCTGGTACTCACCTGGGGTCAGGGGAAGGTGTTCCGAGACAGTCGCTTGGGGCCCATAATCTCTCACCTCTGCCCTGCCTTCAAGTTCCAAAATGGTTATATGCATGTTGTGTGTGTGTGTGTGTGTGTGTGTGTTTACTTTTATTCACAGAGAAGTAGCACATTAATGTGAAGCATGATGACCTTATAAGGACTTCTAATAGAAAATAACCGTTCTCCAAACTATGTCCCCCAGCTCCACCTCTCACCCTCACCCGTCTCTGTCTCTGCCAGCTGCCTCGGCCCTTCTTCCCGTTGCTATCTTGATGCGTCTGATGACGGCTACCAATTCTTGACTTATCAGTTCTAAACACTAAACTATGCCTTTCTATTTGAGTCTGGGAGGTTTCGGGACTGAAATTTCCAGCAGCACTGAACACCCACACTTTTCTTTTTCTCATCCACACAATAAATTCACAGCACAAACTGGGGTAACTCAACAATCACTGGCTGTAGAGTTCACGTGAAGCCAAAGAGGATGCTGCATTCACCAGTTCTACAAGTACATTTTAAATTTTTAGCTTCTCTAATATTTGAATGTATCTTACAACTTAACAGTTTGTCTTAAAGTTAATGTTTTTTAATAATTGATGCATTTTGTATTCAGTAAACTATGGATATAAAAGGTTTTTTCTTTCCGTTTCTTTGTTCATTTTTTCCTAGATTACTACTTGTGTTTGTGTTATAAGTTGGACACACATCTTCCCACAGATGCAGTACATCCTTCCCCAGGTTGGGCCAAGCATACTTTCTTATAATACACAACACAGCAGCTTTATATTTCCAAGGGGATTCTCTGCCCCTAGCAGTGTCTTCTTCCCTGACCTGAACTGGGCATAGTTTGGTCCCTTCCGTCCCTCCTGGACCCACCTCTTTACCTTCCCCGAGGTGAGCCCCTGTTTGTCTCTTGACCACACCTTCATTTGTTTTTATTAACACATTCCCTACTACTTCTGAGTGTCTACCTACCTGAACATACGGATTTACTACCTTCACAGGTAACTGCTCATTTAGCTGAGTGGAGAATGTGAATAATTATTTTCCTGAGGGCCGGCCAAATAGTTCAGCAGACTAAAGCGCCTGCTTAGGCAGAGCTCAGAGGCTGGGGTGCGATCCCCCAGCCTGCCATGCCAGCTCCACACCCAGGGTGCACCGAGACAGGAAATGAGAGTGGGCTTGTTGGCACACGCCTATAATCTCAGCTCTTGAGAGGCTGTAAACAGGAGGATCACTACGAGTCCGATCTAGTAGTGAGACCCTGAACACCCTGTAGATCCTTTCCTAAAATACAAAAAAAAAAAAAAAATTCTTCTCCTGCAAAATGGTTAAAGCTTTCCCACCTTCCTTGATTCCCAGCCTTTGGCTCTGCCATTTTGATTCTCACTCTTGTGCACAGGGCAGGAGTTTTCTCCTAGAAGCCTTTTGGGTCTCTTGGGTATGACATTCTGAACTTTTAAGTGATGGGCCTTAGTGTAGGTTTTCTTTGCTTCACTGTGTTAGGCCCTTGGATGTTTTCAGTCTAGAGTCTCACTAGTGTAATGTCTAGCATAATACATATACTTTGCTTAGGATTTCATTGGTTAATTTCTTCTGTCTTTTTTTTTTTTTTCAGTAGTACTCCTACTTATGAAGCACTTGTCTGGAGTTGATATTGTAAGTCTTTTATCAATTTTTTCTTGTTGGCTCTCTCTTATCTTCTCTGTCCTTCCTGGTTGATGTCCTGGTCTATTTTGTGATTTCAAATGTAAAGTTCTATGGGGCCTTTTTGTGAGATTATTCAGGGTCTTCTCTGGCCTTCCTGACTACCCCTATTCTAGGAAAAGTAGGAGAGCAAGCTACAGGCAGAACCACCTTAGATTTGAGCAAGCAGGATCCCTGGCCTGAACCTCATGCTTTGTAAAGACCCTTACTTTGAAGTACATACCTCCTTATAAACTTCCCCAAAGCCACAACAATTTTGCACACCTATGTGGCCCATTCTAGACTAGATCCTGTGTGTTCTGTGGTCCCCATTTCCCCCTGGCCTCCCTGCCCTCTCCCTTACGTAACAAGCTGACCAGGTGCCCCAAGGAACCCAGGATTCATCTACTTGGCACCAGCCTAGGGCCTGGGACCCGTGCCTCAGTTCCGGGAAGTAACCAACAAGCAGATAAATCTTGTTGGTCACCATGATTTCTTTATTACAAGATCATGGAAAGTTAACAGGCTCTAATCATTACTACAAAGACCCTGCAAAAACTTATTTGCCAGCTCTGAATACCATAAGAGAAACCCTGGCCCTGAGTCACACTGTTCCAAGCTCAGGTCTTAATCTCCCTCTTTATTTCCTGTTCTTCTCCTGCTCTTCTCATTCTGCCTAGTAGATCCCTGAACCTTTCCTTTTCAATTTCCCTCTCCCTCTAGTCCACAGCATCACCAAGAGAGAGTCCAGATGAAAAAAGGACAACCAGAGTGCTCCCAGGCACTCCATCATCTGCAAGGGGAGAATACCCAAGCCAGAAAAGGGGACCTGGAGGGTAGCCCCAGGGTAACATGGAACCTAGATGGTGTGATGCCTCTTGGACAACCAGGAGAAGAAAACATGTCAAGAAAAGGGAAACTGAGCTCAAGCTGCTGGGGCTCAATAAGTAAGGACACAGAAGCCACTCAGGCTGCTGGACAACGCTCCTGGAAGAGATGGCAGAGTTTGGCAGCACCCAGGCACCACGGGAGGCAGTGGAGATGACCACAGGCAGCTGTGCTCAGCTTCTCAGGACACACATATCCTGTGAAAAGGAAGCGGGATGGGGAGAAACAGCTGGAGAGGAGCGTGGGGTTAAAAGAGACATGGTTGGAAGAGGCTGAGGCAGGAGCATCGCAAGTTTGAGCTCAGCCTGGGCTACTTAGTAATGTAGCAAGACTCTGCCTCAAAATAAAAGCTAAATCAGAGCTAGAGGTGTGGCTCCATGCAAATGTCTTAGGATCAGGTTCCAGAAACACAAACAGCAGCAGCAGCAATACACACAATAACAATGTGGAAGGGGGGCTGAGGGGAGAAACACCACAATAGAGTCACCAACAGATGGCCACGTGAAGCCTAACCCTCTGAGGCTCCAGAATGAAATGGGCCAAGTGTCACCTCCAAGGCCCACTCCGCTCTCCTCAGCACTCAGCACTGCGGAAGCACATGAGCAGCGAGCTTCTGGGTCCTTCCCAGGGTTCCCCACCTCCAGCGCCCCGCACATCAGCAAGGCAGTCCCACTCTGCTGGTCCCACTCCCTGGGACAGGTCTGGGACACTGAACTGGACAGGGCTACAGGAGTACAGCATCCAGCACACAGCCAAGCAATACAAAGTTGCTCCCTCTCCACTGTAGAGAGTAGAGAGGACAGAGCCACACTCAGGATGCCCCTTTCTGTCTCCGAAAGGCTGCCTCCCTGCATTCTGGGTTCTACATTCGCTTTTCTCTTTATTTATGCTTGGGCTTTCTCACATGGAATAAGCTATCAGATATTTGATGTCCTGTATCTAATTTATTTTCCTTGGCCCTGTGGTCTCAACAGGCGTCTGTTTTCCTTCAAATGACTCAAGTTTATCTTTCTTTCTGGGGACATGGGAAGGAGAGAAGAGAAAGCAGAAGTAACTAAGATGTGATAGGTATACACAAGAGAATATAATCACTATGCATGGTACACATATGCTAACAAAAAAGAAACTAAAACACACCTTAGGGTTAGTCTGAGTAAAAGAAAACTACCTAAAACATTAACTAAATATGCATGCCATATTCAATTTCATAACATACATAGTACACACATAAAAGAGGTGTTTCAGGCAGGGTCAGTGCCATCCTTAGTATTGGCCTAGAGGATGCCACCCTCCCTCTGTGCATGCTGCTTGTGTCCAGATTTCTCTTCCTTATAATGACCCCTGTCATACTGGTTCCACCCACCCTAAAGATTTCTTTTCACCATATCATGTTTCCCTGAATATAAAACCCAGCTCGGAACTAATCAGCCTTGAAAACTAAAGACCAAAATGCCAGTCCCAATCAGCCGGTCCTCGCCTTCCCGCCTTCCTGCCATCACTGTTCTCTTGCGCACTGGCTCTTCTGTGAGGTGGACAGGACAAGGACAAGATGGTTGGGGCTGGCATTTTTGATCTCTAGTTTTCAATAATAAAAGCTACTGAAGAAAAGCATATCTTATTTTCAAAGAAAGGGGTTAGTATGCTCCATAAAGAACCTGTCTCCAAATACATTTACTTTCTAAAGTACCAGGAGCTCAGATTTCCCAATACTGTATATTTTGGGGAGACTCACATTCCTCTATAGGAGGAAGCTTGCTCCCCAGAGAAGGGGCGTGGCTGGTCCTGTGCACAGGTGGCACCTCAGCACCACAAGCCACCGTGTGCTCCTGCTCCTCCCCACCGTGATTAACCCAACACAGGCAGTAAGTGTTAACCTCATCATCTGCTCATCCAGTCACCTCTGTGCCCGACACCACAGGGAGCCAGAGCCCTGCCATGCGCTTCTCTCTCCATGGAAAATGACTGGCCATTTACTGTGACAGA